CATCAGCAAAGAGAAGCACGACCGCACCATCATCAACCCGAGCAAGAAGGAGGCGCCAAAGAAGGAGGAGACGGAGGAGGTGCGCTGCACGTGACTCATGGAGTCGTGGTCGTGGTGGTCGTGGTGGCCGTGGTCGTATGCTGCGCATGATGCGCGTGGCGCGTGATGCGCGTGGCAACGGCTGGTAACACCATACGCATGCTTACATACACGTGCTTGCGTCCACTTTCACACTCACTCACTCCACACTCCCATACTCACCCACTCACACACTCACTCACTCACTCCCACACTCACGCACTCACTCACTCACACGCACTCACACACTCACACACAATCTCGCTTTCACTTTCACATGTACACACGTGTGCAGGAGAAGGTCGAGACCATGTCCGAGTGGTTCAAGAAGAACGGCAAGAAGGCGCAGAAGTTTGCGCACATCAGCAAGCAGGCCGATGCCCACAAGTTCCTTGCAGAGAACCTCTCCCTCGTGTGCGAACACCTTGCCAGCTACCTCGTCATCTACTGCGTTGATCTCGCCGTCGACCCAGAGGTCAGCGGCCATCACCATGCTCATTCTGTTTGTCCGTCTTTCGCTCTGTCTGCCCGTCTACCTGCCTGCGTCAATGTTCCTTTCAATCTGCCCGCCATCCTCACCTGCGAGCTTCTCGTGTGTGTTTATTTCCTTCTCAACGCCACTCCTCTCCTTTTCCCTTCCCATCACAATCACACACACACTCACACGCGCACACACAATGAACCCTCAACTGTTTCCACACGTCCTTGTGACAGACGGAGGCCGATGTGCCCGTGTGCGCCCGCCAGACCATCATGATCCAGGTACGCCAACCCACCCCATTGCACATGCGCCACTCACTGCCTTGGACTTGTGGCGTTCGCAAACTGTCACGCCTCACCACCATCGCCACCATCACCACCATCACCACCATCACCACCATCACAACACATCATCCCCCCCTGACTCCTAACATCCCTCCCCCTCCCACTCCTCTCCACCTCCACACATACCTCCACATCTCCGCTTCCTCCTCCTTCTTCTTCGTCAGTACATTCTCGAGCTTGCCAAGACGCTCAAGCGTGACCCGCGCGAGTGTGTGAATGCGTTCTTTGCGCGCCTCGCCACGGCCGACCCCCAATACAAGGCGGCGTTTGACGACGAGGTGGCCGCCCTCATTGCGCGCGTGAAGAAGCGAGCGCAGGAGCGGGTGGCGGAGGCGCAGGAGGAGATGAAGAAGCAGCGGCTCGGACCCGGCGGGCTCGACCCGTACGAGGTCCTCGACTCTCTCCCCGCAAAGATCAAGGAGGTGCGGTGCAACAAGTGGGAGGGGGTGGAGTGGCCCGTGTGTGAATGTCTGCATGTGTCTGCGTGTGTCTGTCTGTCTGTGTGTGTCTGTCTGTGTGTGTGTGTGTGTGTTGTGTGTGTGTGTGTGTGTGTGTGTGTGTGTGTGTGTGTGTGTGTGTGTGTGTGTGTGTGTGTGTGTGTGTGTGTGTGTGTGTGTGTGTGTGTGTGTGTGTGTGCACTCTCCCTGTGTCTGTGTGTCTGCCTACCGGTTACACCCATCACGCATCAATTCCACTTCTCTCACCCCACAACTCCCCTTTCCCCTTTCGCAGGCGTTTGAGACACAGAACACACCCATGCTCAAGGAAGGCTTTGCCGAGCTCTCCCCAGAAGACGCCGCCTACCACTACAAGCGCGTCGTCGACAGCGGCCTCTGGGTCCCAGGTGCGTGCTCTGGCGTGTGTGTGTGTGTGTGTGTATGTGTCTGTGTCTGTGTCTGTGTCTTTGCCTCTATGTCTGTGTGCCTGTGTGTTGGATTGTTCAACGTTTCGCTTTCCTTTTTTGAATTGTGTCGCGTGATGACAATCGCGATGTCCTCCGAGCACTCACCTCAACTTCCTCCTTCCTTCGCTCTTCAATCCACCCCGCAGCTCCCGGCAGCGATCTGACAGACGCCAAAGGCGACGGTGACGACGACGGCGCTGACGACGACGGCGCTGACGCCGATGATGAAGGTACGACCAACACACCACACTTGCCATTCATGTTGCCATCACAGTCGCGCAGTTACAGTCGCGCAGTTTTGACGATTGTGACGATTGTGGTGACGTGACACCACGCCTTGTCCATGCCACACAGCACCATCATCTTCCTCCGCTCTATTTTCCTCCCCTTCCTCTTCTCACGTCTCTTCCTCCCTTCCTCTCGTGCGTGCACACGTGTCGTGTTTCCGCCCACCGCTGCACCTTCGTCCTGCTCCCCTCTCTTCTGCCAAGAGGAAGCGGAGGCGGACGAGAAGACGACCAAGGACAACTGAGACAACGCCGTCGGCCACAGCAACTGTCCACCACCCAAGACTCCACTGGCAGTGATGGTGGCGACAGTAGCACACAAGAACAGCAGCAACACCACCAACAACAACAACAACAACAACAACAACAACAACAACAACAACAACAACAGCAACGCACTGTTTTGGAGGAATGGTCGCTGTTTGGTGCTCTCCGCTCTTGGTGTTCGCTCCTGTGATTGCCCCCCCCCCCGTGTTCGTGTTCGTGTTGTGATGCTCTGTTTATGTGCTGATCGTTTGTATGACGTGGATGCCTACATATTCATCAAACGTGCGCATGTGTGTGTGTGTGTGTGTGTATGTGTGTGTGTGTGATGTGGTTGATGTGTCTTCAATCCCCGCCCCAGTGCAGAGGGAGAGGGGCTGTGATTGTTGCTCTCATCCCCCGTGTTTGTGGTTGTTGTGGTTGTTGCTCTCATCCCCGTGTTTGTGGTTGCTTCTGTTGCTTGTTTGCCACCGAATAAACGAGCGCACGTTCGCGTTTCAAACTTCACTGCCAGTGCGACTGCAGACTGAAGATACTCAAATGCGCCACAACAATACGCTCTAGCGAACAACACCATGTATGGTCAACAAGACTGACGTGATCAAGCAAGTTGTGAACAAACTGAGTGACCAGCGCAACACCGATGCGCACGAGCAGTGATGCAGTTAAGCGCTCTCACGGTCTGAGCCCTTGCTGTTCTTGCTGCTGTCGCTGTCGTTGCTGCCCGCCTTGGTGTCGCCACTGTCCTTCTTGCTGTCCTTCTTGCTGTCCTTGGTGCTATCCTTTGAGTCCTCCTCCTGGTCATCGTCGAAGATGGCGTGCGAAATGCGCTCAAAGAACCCGCGGTGCTCGTTCTTCTTCGCTTTGCTGCTCTTGCTGGCACTGCTACTGCTTCCGCTCCCAGCACTGAAGCAGCCACCATCACCATCATCACCAGCACCACCAGTGGCGTGCATTGCTCGCTCGGCAGCGCGACGGAGTGCAGCCAGCTCCTCCTCATCCACAAACACTTTGCGGCTCACACCTGCAGTGCGTTTTGTATGTATATGTGTGAGTATGAGTATGTGTGGGGGGGGAGGGGTATGTGAGTAAACGTGTGTGAGTATGTGTGTATGTGTGTGTGTGTGTGTGAGTGTGTGTGTGTGTGTGTGTGTGTGTGTGTGGGTGTGTGGGTGTGTGTGGGTGTGTGTGTGTGGGTTGTGATGTGATGTGAGATTGGAGCAAATACAACACTGGTGGTTTTGTCCAAGCACAAACAAACAGGAAGATGAGAGGACCCTTGCACACACGCATGCATACAACCCTCTCCCTTCCCTCCCTCCCTCCCGCCCGCCAGACAGCGCACCTTCGATGCCTGTGACTTCGCCATTTCTGTTCGCTTCACGCAGCGCCAACTGCTCATACAGCTCCCGCTCCTCATCGCTCAAGCGCCTGTCATCGTGATCACGGCCATGGTGATGGCACCAGCGGTGGTGGTGGCGGTGAGCGGTAGCATTGAACAACAATCGAGTCCGCGCACCATCACAACGCAACACGACGCACAGCCCGCCTAACAGACACACACACACACACACACACACACACACACACACACACACACACACACACACACACACACACACACACACGCGCACGCACGCACGCACGCACGCACACACACACGCCATACTCACACTGGGACGTCGACAACAAGTTCCAAGATGTGTGCGCCCTTTGTGTAGTCATGCACGCTCTGGAACCCACGGTCCCGCAGCTTGAGGCGCTGGCCCGAGTTTGTGCCTGCAGGCACCTTGACAGCCATGTCGCCGTACAGCCCTGGGACGTGCACACGCCCGCCGAGCACGGCTTGCGGCAGGCTGATCGTCGTTGTTGTGGAGGTGGTGAATGGTGGTGAACAGTGTGAAAAGGCAGAGGCGGTGCGCAATTCAACAAGCGCTGCGCTTTATCCATGAAAAGAAGAGATTGGCCGTCACACACAGCGGTCACACACAGCGGTCACAGTGGAATGCAAGGTACCTGATGCGCGCTGTGCTGAAGACATTGGTTCCCTTTCGCCTGAACTGCCGTGATGGCTCCACCTGAGGGTGACACACACAGCAAGAGTGAGGCACAGCACGTGTACAAATGATTATGAGGTGTGTGAGTAGCCAGGTTCACTGGCAGAGCGTACGGCAGGACGCGACCACCTCCACCAGCAACAACAGCCATCACAACAACAACAACAACAGCCATCACAACAACAACAGCCATCACAACAACAACAACAACAACAACAACAACAACAACAACCATCACAACAACAACAACCATCACAACAACAACAACAGCCATCACAACAACAACAACAGCCATCACAACAACAGCCGTAGCAATGGGTGGGCGGGACACCTCGATTGAGATGACGCGGTGGTTTCCGACTTGGAGCTGCATACCGTCCTCAACACCAGCAGGGATGTTCACCGATACCGTCTCCTCCGTCTTCACAGACCCGCTGCCCTTGCAATCCTGACGGCGGTGGTGGTGGGCAGAGCGGTGGATGGCAGCACCGTGATGGCAGCGGTTGTGTGAGGAACGCGCGTCAGTCACACGCACGTGCCGTGGGCACTTGCTGCACAACACAACACAACACAACACAACACAAC